ACTCTCAAGAATCTCTGGCTTTGGTTCATTAGCCCACTCAGTCCCGTCAGAGTTCCCCGTGTCAGAACCCGTATCGTCCTCTGAGGTCATGCTGTGGTACACGGAGGAGGCTGAGGACGTGCTCTTGTCGCCTGAGGCACTGCGAGCTCCGGATCCCTTTGAGGGGGACTTGGATCCATCCTTGTGCCTCCTCCTCCTGCTCCAGCGCCTTCGGTTTTGACCCCTCTTCTTCAAGGGGGACTCAGGCATGTGTTTCTCCTGCTTATCGTGGTTTTCAGGCCCAGTTCCCACCTCTTCCTGAGCTTCCTCTCGTGTCTCAAGGAACTTCTCGTGGTGGTTGATAATGAGGTCCAGTGCCAAAAGTACCAGCTCGGGGCACTCCAAATTGTCATCCTGTTGCCAAGATCTATGAGAAGACAAACTTGATGTAGGACCAACAGGAAACTAGTAAAAAAAAAATATGAGCATGTGAGTTTGTGCAAAATGCTAGGCACAATATATCAGAAATGAAGAAATGTACAAACTGAGATGAATAGACCCTCTGAAAATCTATTTCCCAATGACTCCTACACAATATTCCTATGATAAAAAAATCCTTCCTCTCAGTAATCCCCTCCCATCCACTTCACAAATCGAAGTAAAACAGAAATGGAAGAATAATCATGTTGTATACCAATATTCAAAGAATATTTCCACAATCCCCAAAAAGTAGAAAAAGTAGATTATATTTACTGCCCTTCTCTCAACACCTCACTTGCCTCTATCAATCTGAGGAAATTGCATCCAAAGAACCCACTCACCTAGCTGATGAAGGGTACGTGTTGTTGGCAAGCTGCTCTGTGTCTGCTTCATAGCCATCAGTCTCACCTGGATGTTGCTCTCCTTCCCCTCCAACAGGACCTGGCTCTTCATCAAGCATCTCAAGGGCCTGCTGGTCATTCAAGTTTGATTATTTACCTTTAGAGAATGCAGACGGATCTACTTTATACATTCAAATGGATCTGTGTAAATCTAATCTAATTTCCTTCAACTGGATCTAAACAACTTTAATCTACTTCCTACCTATTCTTATTCTAAATATCAATAAATAATATAATCTATTCCTTTAAAATGGATGCAACAAATCTACAAATATTAGTTCAAATAGCAAGACGGGTTTGGTTACAGACAATAATAGGAAATACTTCCAAACATCACACACAAATACCTGTGCTTGTTTACCCCCGTTCAGAAAACAAAGTATGCCCAAACAAACCGGCACTTACCTGTGTTGTGTGAGGTAAAGAATAAGTTATGTTGGTCGATGAGGACAACACACAACACTGTAGCATGACAGACACGAGGTGCTTCACATCCCCACAAGTACGGGGCGAGTAACGCAACAATGGCGACCTCAACTCATTCAAAAGTGTATCCACATGCAAACCTTGAGAATAAGTAAAAAAAAAACAGATGCAGTTACACCACACATGAAAATGTATTTTTTTTTTTTTTTTTTTTTTTTTTTTTTAAGAATGATGAATATGTCTAGATCTTTTCAATCATTTCTTGTCAGTATACAGTTGTAATAAAAGCACACTGGCACACCTGCATATGGGTAAGTGACAATGACGAAGGTGAGCAGTGAGTGCATCAGCGAGAAGGTGACAGACAGCTGCTCTAAGACAACGCTGCTCAGACCTAGGGCTCCTGTGCACCCAAGAAAGGGAGGGAGAATATGTATAATATGTATAAATAAATAAATAAAAATATATAAATATACATATATATATATATATATATATATATATATATATATATATATATATATATGTGTGTGTGTGTGTGTGTGTGTGTGTGTGTGTGTGTGTGTGTGTGTATAGAAACACACACACACACACACACACACACACACACACACACACACACACACACACACACACACACACACACACACACACACACACAGATATATATATATAATTTGTATAATCACAAGCTAAAAGACAGAAGTACAAACTTGCACATATTCTGTTCATTCCTATGCAAAGCTCCCATACCAACCCCTTTCCCTACCAGAAGGGCACTGACGCCTACCTGAGGAAGCACGCGCCAGGTCCTGCGTAATGTTGACAAGCAGTGGTGCCACCAGGGAACGGATGCCTGACGCGGCCAAGTAGGCCTGGAACTCAGAGCTCATGTGCAGGACTTCTGTGACAGCATTCCACAACTCACCCAGGCCAGCATACTTGAGGGCAAGTGTCTGGCTGTCAATGTTCTGTGGTGGCAGATGAAGATGAAGGATTCAGAAGTAAATATCTTTGAATGAGATTACTGGCATGAATATGAATGTAATTATCACAGATTCATAAAAATAATATAAGAGATATATGGAGAAAGCCTCTTCAGTGTTACTTCCACCGTCCATCCACGAAGAGAGAATGATGTGTACACCTTCACTTTTATACCCTTTATATCATTACCCTTCCCCAAAGCTTTAACTTTGTACTATGAATCATTACTACACTAATATAATAATAGCAAATATCATATTCAGTCTACCTTAAAGTTTTCAAGATCAGCATGGTCTTCCACAAACTCATTAGGGATGGGAGAGGGGGCCTTCTCATCTGCTAACTCCATTTCTTCAACTTTGCCCACTTCTGAACCAATGTCTATATGAACAGCTTCCTTGATATCCTCAGTGTCTTCTTCATTCTCCTCCTCTTCTAACCTCTCCTCTTTTTCATCTGTCTTGTTGATGGTTTCCGCATCTGTCTTGTCCTGGCCGATGACTTCATTCTTGTTGTGGTTTAGGCCAGTATTTGGAACATTGTCATCTGCCACTGTGGACACATCTAACTGGGTGTGAATGAAGAACCTCTGTCTCACCTCACGTACTTTCATGTTGAAATAACCCGTCCAGAACTCATCATGCTCTAGCACTTCGGCTTCAAATAATTTTGTAAAAATAAAATTGTTTTCTTCATCTGTATCTGCCATTACAGGCATTCCAGGTTTAGTCTTCAATTCTTTCTTCACAATATTGCAAAGCAGTGCAAAGGCTTCACTTCTAACCCCTGGAATGGATTTGCAGGCTGTGATAAGAGACAGGCCATTGTCCTGAAGAAACTGTGTTATTTTTGGATCACATGATTCTGCTAATGTTAATCTAATACATCTTAGGAGGCCAACTAACACATCCTTATCTTTGCCACTGCTCTCATATTGAGCAATACCTTTTTCACAAATCTGTTTTAAAGCTGGGATGATGAGGTACTCACACATTTCCAACTTGACTCCCGCACTGCTACGTGACAGGAGTCTTGTTATGTGAACTATTACTTTTGAACTGATATTTTTACAAAAGAGAAGTCTTTTATAGAGAGCAACACCTTCCCAATGAGAGGAAGAGACAGGTGCATCTTCTATATTCTGACTGCAACATTTCTTAGCTGAATTAAAAGCTGAGATTCCACGAGAACTAAAGGTCGATGAGAACGACTCTTCTAAAGTATATTCGGCAGTTATAGGATTGAGTCCCCCTCCCACGTATTCTGGGGTCTGGCAAAAAATACAGGTAACTGCCTCCCTTAAAGTCATTCCACCCAGGTCACGCCACACAATGTTCTCTATAAAGACAGTAAGATAAGAAACAACATGATGCATCTCAGAACTCAGGTTCTGCAAGAGTTTGCTCAGAACAGCTCCTGTACTCATGCAACAACATAGGCCACATTTCGATAAAGCCTTGATGGAACAAGCATGTATCTCAATTTCTTCAGTAACTGAGAAGCAGTCAATCAATATGAATGCAAAGTTAGCAATCATACAAGAACTAGGATCAATTCCATTGAGTAAGCTTGAATTTATTCCAAATACCTGAGAGTGGTGGCTCTGCACAGCCTCATATTCACAATACCTGTGGTTCTTTTTATCACACTTTTCTGCATGGTAAACATCTTCCCTCCAGTACTTCATATAAAGGATCAATTTACTGAGATTTTGCAAGATTTCGGAACGCCTCCCTAATGACAGGTGATGCTTCAGAGAAATTAACTTTTTGATGATTTCTGGGCCATCACTCTGTAAGAATATCTTGTGTAGAGTGAGACACTGCCAAACGTCTTTGTACTCAACTCTGAGACAAGCAGAGCTCTGCAGAGTGAGCAGCAATCCTAGGATAACCTCGTAAGCCAAAGCTGCCTTGCCAACTTCAAGCTTGTTTACTTCCTTCTTCAATATTGCATTGGTGCTCTCTTTCAGCACAAAACTGTTATCAAGAATCTCTGAAACAAGTTGCAAGAGCTTGGGGACAACAGTTAGTTCAGTCACAGTGAGCATTAACTCACTTGATTTGAGAAATCTTTGCATTGAAGAAAATACAAGCCGTAACATCCCAGAGAGTAACTGCCGGATGTCTGTTGTGTCATTCCCTTTCTGCTCCAAATGCTTGAATTCAGCAACCATAGAGGAAAACGTGTCAAGTGAAAACTGAAGGATATCCTGTGTTGCTAATAACGGTGAGGACAAGTGTTTTAACTCTGTCTCATGCATGGCCAGTTGTGACTGGATTGATATGATGCACTGGAGAAGTTCCACAAGAGTGAGGCACAGAATGTTCTCATGGCAGCACATTTTGCTGCCTGGCCCGAGGCTTACATGAACCCTCTCGTGCTGGTGGCTCTTGTCTTCGTCACTGTACACAACGTGCGTGAAATAGTCAAAATCTTTGGGATTCATTGTGAACTTCACAATGGCCTTGCGCAGTCTGTGCGTCTGGAGGTCTGGGTCTGCTTCCGAGTCTGAGTTGATGATGTGGTTACAGGTGGAGGAACGTTTTCTGCGCTTCCTCCCACACTTCTTCCCACTCTGGCAGCTAGAGAGACTGCTACTCTTGGAGCCAGAGGTCTGCATCCACGACTGTGAGGCTGAGAGGCCGTGAGATCGTATGGTGTTGCCCGTCTTGGTGTGGGCAGGGTGGTGGACCAGGGGTGCGAAGATGTCCTCCAGGCTGAGAT